CAATAGAAGATATATTAGAGAAACTTGCCAACGAATATCTCGGAGAACAACCCACCATATGTTTCGAATTTAGTTTAATAACGTTACCTACATAACTATAATATATTAAGAGCTATAATGATATTTTGAAGATATATTAATTAGTAAACAAGTAATTATATTAAGATACGCATCATAAATTCATTATACAAACTAATCACCTTGCTGCTTGTATATAGCAGTGTCCTAAATATTATAATGAATTAAGAACCGTTCTAAACTCATATACAGATAACTACGGCACAACTGATAAACTAAAATTCATAACGGTACTTCCTCATGTCTCGGGGCGAGCGGTCATCGCAGACACGAACAAAAACATTAAAATAGCAACCGTAGCGGTTCGGTCAAAGCGCAAAAAGAGCACGTAATTACTTTAAATACTTTAGAAAATGTTAGTAACTAAGCACAGTATAATTGGAAACTAATTTCCTTTGCAGTTCTTAATTTCGAACAATAGTTATGATTCCAAATTAATTATATATGCTCATTTTTTATGATGAAAACGAAATATTAATCCCAACATATGTTGGTGAGGTACCTATAAGTGATGGTAGATAAGGATGAAATCAGATCAGTCAACCTATGGTGATTAATTCACTAGAATCATCATTATGGTACATGATGGTATAAAGATCACATTAGTGTCGGCAACGCACGCGTAATACCTCTGGTATTGCAGGTCCACCTGATGGTAAGTGGTTACCGTAGCCTATGTTCATAGGCTATAGTAATCAGGTGGGCCGTATGCTTGTTTGCCACCTTAGTGGTATAAAATGAAGGTAGGCTTGACGAAGTATATTGCTAGTAATGGGTCGGTGACCTCATTATGAATAATAATCCTTCCCTCCCATAACTGGATATGTCCGAATGAACTGTTATCCGAAAATACGACATTATATTAACATATTTATTTTTAATTATTAATTTTCTTTGACGATGATCATATTACATGTTGTGAAAATAATATTTTATAAAACTACTGTATTATACATACAATACAAGACAATCAATGGTATTCTTATATCTTTGTACATAAATAAAATGGAAGAAATTTAATTCATGATCCAACCCCCACTCTCTGCTCTAAACGGAAAATGAATTCCGAGCAGATATTTCATTTCATTTATTTGTCATTAAATATATATATACAAAATGTGAATTGTAATGTATTGTAAATTCTTTGTTGTACATATTTTACGTTAAACATATTAAAAAGATTATTTGTTTGATTGCCTATTTTCATCTTCATCATTATTAGGTATATCAGACGTTAACTTTTCAGTTCTGAACAAAGCCCTCCCCCATAGACTTCTATAAAAAATGGCCCCGAGCCACCTGCATCCACTTACTCCCTGCTATTCATTTGAGGTCGTCGTTCATTTAGGGGGGAGGGGCATCCTACGTTCGCCTGTACGGAGTCGTCACTCAAGAAACTTTCTTCTTCATCGGTTATCGATTCTTCGAGCTATTGTTAGTTAAACTGGATTGGAACAGGATTGATAATTTCAGTAAAATTTAACGATTTCAAATTTAACGCTGGTAGATTACTTGCGACCATATATCATCGAGTCAAGAAAAATGGAAATATATTAGAACTATTATTATTGGTACAACTAAAATTAGATAATAATTTTACAGCATCAATCATTTTTGGCGTTTGATATTTTTAAACCTCGAGTAATCTGGACGTAATGGCAATGACGAGCCATTTTACCGCAACAGCACAAATCATTTTACGTTGAGGATGGTTGTTTATTACGAAAATACGAAAATTGAAGTTACAGTGAACCTAAAAACAGTGTTTCTACCTCCAGCACAAATTAGTTCCGCTATTGGGGTCATTAGAACAGTCTTTTTTAGTGCACAGCTCGGTTCTATTCACTCATTTTGAACTCTAAAATCTTCGTATTTACATTAAAATCGATTGATACTATAGAACATAAACATTATTATCTTTATTTATAAGAGGAATTTTCTATTTTTCAGTATTTTTTGTAACTTAGATTTAGTTAATTCTTTTCCATCGATTTCAAAAACAAGGAAATTCTCAATTCGACTGTATTTTTTTTAGATTGTTACCTCCGTACCATAATTCTTTTAGTTATAAACCGATCCAATATGGATTTTTTTTTCTGTAAAAATATATTCTGTCGATGTAGTAACTGCTCGTAAATATCGTATGAAAGAATTTTCAACAGTCGGCAATAAATCCTTTATTTTCAAACAATGTGGCATAGAATCGATATAATTTAAACGCTTACCTAGTGTATTTACATGCATATTTATATTTTTTTTATAATTTTAATACAGCGAGTATATAATCTATTCTAACAGAGGTTATTTATTTAACTAATGACATCATCTTATCATCGTCATTATCTTCGTGAGATACACTTTGTAATAAACCGTCGAGGTGACTTGTGAAATCAAAAGTGATCTAAATATTAACAAAATTTTGTTAAACAATTAAAATATATTTCAAGGTTCTTTAGTGCCGCAATCGTATGCACGTGAGAAAATTCATAATATACAAATGCCCGTGTTGTGTACACTGCCCTTATTTCGTAATGTGTTGCGTGAGCCTATAAATATAAGGCAATTTGTTAAGTGACCAGATCCCACAGCGGAATTTTAATATTGAACGACATACGAATTTGTAACTATGAATCAAATTAATATGTCACAATGGAATCAAGTATGGGCGTTTTTGAATACATAATTTCGTACAGAGTACAGGGTAGAATAGCTCTTATTCCTTTTGTATAAAATTTAAAATAATATCGATAGATAATAAATATTCAGATTAACGTCCATTTATTACAACATATATAATAATAGTACAGGTAGGTATTATATTCATGTCATATGCGTAGTAGCAATATTGTATACAACAAAAACTCGTCTGCGATTCTCAAGTCTGGTCATTTTATGTGACATGAATTTACCGAACACTTTTTATTATGTAGGTGCATATCTATTAAGTATACTAAATATTTATAACAATGATGGTACAAATTATTACATATGTTAAATAAAATTAACTAGATAGTTCAAATTTCTAATATTTTATTGTTAGGGAGGCAAACATGCAGACGATCCACCTTATAGAAAGCTGCTACCATAGCACATGAACATCTGCAACACGAAATAAATTGCATGTGCACTACCGGCCTTTTAAATGTCTGTACGTTTTTTTATAGGACATTTAATGTCCTGTATTACATTGTAAGAGCAAAACAAAAGACAGGACCTCACTCCACAACCTAGATATAGAAATAGAGGTACAAATGAAGAGGATGCACGAGCAGTAATAGTGTGTCGCGTGTATTAAAAAAAGGCAATTTTTTATTAATTAATAAATGTAGGTACACATTTTAACACAAGATGTTTAAGAAAATTAATATAATTTAAAAAAAAATATCTAACACGTGCTTATGAAATGAAGATTAATTAATAATACTATATCATATATATTACATTATTTTCATAAAGATGACCATCTAATTATCAGAGATCTCTACTAATAGAAATTCCATATCATACAGGTTCTATCTCAGTATTCAGTTTTATAGGTACCATGCGCTAACCTATTGCGCCACTGGAGTTGTATTCAGTACTGACTGTGTACAATATCAGTAAAGCAGTTTTTAAAATTTCATAATACTTAATTACTTAGTTATCTATAAACTTATGTTTTTCTAGTTCTTTTTGTTTGAAAATTGACACAATATTGTACAGAGTATACCACGCTACCCGCTGAACTTGATGCATCTTTCCAGTTCGGGTATGCTAGATAAGAACTCTTTTAGAGTTGAGATCGCCTTTGTACATTTGTTTACCTCTGTCATATGTTTTATGTATTATTAGTGTATACAATCAAATATAAGTTGGTAAATAATTTAATAAATATATGTTCAACCATTTTGTCGTGATGAGGTAACAAATAGACAAATAGAGATCAGTTTTAAAAATTACTGATTTAGGTTTCATAAGTTACTTATGAACTTACCTACTTCAAGCCTCTCAAGTCTGATATTGTTTTAACTTCACGATTTTATTATAGTATAATTTTACATGCGTAAATTTGATTAAAATGCACCTGTAGTAATGCAAGTTAATAGCTCATGTGTATACCAAATTTCATTCAAATTTATCCAGTCGAACTTGATTAACTTATACACATCTAAATGTCCACACAAATTTAGAAAGATCCACATTATATAATATTAAGTAGGATAATGGATATATCTATTTGCATGGTAGGTGTATCCCTTACATAGTACCAAGTAGATACGTGATAAGAATGATTAGCATGCAGTCATGTTATATAACTGTGTTATTTTGGCCAATGTTAGTAGGTAAATCGTTTTGGATGCATGTTTATTATCCTTTAGTGTCATTGGCCTTATTATTACAATGTGAGCTAACCGCAAAGATTACTTAACAGTTTAATAGTCTATTCTTGTGACCGACGACGCATATTATTGTCTAGTGTTTTAGGACATAGCTTTTTTTTTTGTAATAATTCGACATGTCCTTGGCATATTCTGTAAACACAGGAATAGTCTAATTCATGAACTAGGGTTTCAATAATAGGTTAGGATTTAATCAAAATGACGAATTTGGTCGTAGGTTTTTTGGATCTTACATAGTTGTCGAATATAAATAAATAAAATAAATAGATAGGTCTATAGATCATTAAAAATTAACAGTCCAATATTCCGATTGTTCACTTTTTTAGAAAATTTTTATTTTTCTTTGTGGTAAATAAACATGAAATGGTCCATCGACTTCCGTAAGATCAGTATTAGGAGCATAAACACAAGCACTTTTCAAGCGTAAAAAATTTGTGCCTATTTTCCTTATTTACAATGTGTATATTTTTATTATTGATTTATATTTAACTATAAAATAATGGAAAGTGAAAATATAATAATTCATAATCAATCTTGTTTCAGGTACTTAACAATGACATAAGGCCCTCAACAAAATGGCGTTACGATTAAAGAAAGATATTAAAAAAGCGTCGTACTATGTGTGGTTCCTCGGCGCGCAGGAGTCGCGTGGACTCAGAGGTGAAGAGTTCGCGATACCTGCAATAAAGATCCTTGAGGAAAGGGCGAGAGATTTGGAACCTTTCAAAGTCACTTTACAGGTAAGACTTCTTATTATAACACGATATGTGACCACATTATCCTAAAAAAACACAAGGACTATAATTCAAGTCCATGAATGCGAGCAACTAAAAAGAGAATGTCCTACTCTCAACGGTTAACCGTACTCTGCCAGCTTATTTTAATGCTTAGATTCGATATTTTTTATGCAATTTGAAATAACAAACAATGTGATCCACAAAGTTAAAAGTGCATTAATTAGTCCCTTATTACAGAATACACTATAGCATCCACAAAGGTTTACCTTCGTATTATGTAATTATATGGCCATATTATTATTTTTTAATGAATAGTTTTTTGTAAAGACAACTTTACAAAAAACTATTCATTAAAAAATAAGATATAAAAAACTTATCTACAAAAATATATTTCGAAATATATAAAACCTCAGTAGTATAAAGTGCTATACAAGATTCATTTATCATTATTATCTACGACATAAAGCAATTTTAACTCCACAAAAATGTCTCCAACTATCTCATCTGGGATTACCGCATGCCAATTTGTTCAGTCATAAATTACATATGGGGAAATGTTTGTGAAAGTAATTTATGATGTTCTAAATGATTTATACAGTAGCATCATGTAATACTACACTAACAGAATTGTTGCACAACACAAACAAAACTGGCAGCAAGACGGTGTTAATTTCATAATTAAATTATAACACTGAAGTAAATTGCAACTGCTTTTTGCACGCAAGTTATTTTCAAAAGACAGTATTTATTAAATGAATTAAAAAAAAACCCGATATACAAAAAAAATTATAGAAAGTTCAAGAATTTTAAATGATAATACTGGAACACTTACAACTTTCTGAGTTTAGAATAATTTAATAAATATGTCTATCGCATCTCTCTTTTATTACAAGCAATGCCTAATCTAGCTACGAGTATATTGCTAAATTTTACAGTTGAATTTTTTGACGACATCAGTGGTGATTTTTTAACATACAGCACTATCTTCCGATGGTCGGTCGATCTCTACATACTCGTAGTACAAACATTTGTATTCACATCTATTGATTTTGTTCTGTTTTCTATGTATAATATATGTATACTACAAAAACAAGTATTTAAGAATGTCTATCTGTTATCGCCGTGTGATCTCGGCATAGAATGGGCCATCCCTTCCTTTCTCGTAGGTATCGTAAGATACGACTAAAGGAATTTAATGGTGCAGGGATGGGCAGCAGCGTCCCTCTTAAAATATCACCTAAGCCTAACCGGTTGCCAACCCGCCTGCCAAGCGTGGCAACAACTGACAACCGCCCTCTCCCTCCAATAGGAAGAGGCCAATGTTCAGCAGTGAACAGTAATGGTCAGCAGTTGATAATAATATCATATGATGATGATTTCAGATCATCATGATCATCATCAGTTGTCTAGTTACCATAATACAAGCTCTGCTTAGAATTAGATAGTGTTATATTTTATATCCAGTAGTGTTTATGACTTTGTAGCGTTCATTTGTTTAGAACAGTGTATTATTCTCACCAGCTCTCCCACAAAGGTTTGAAGATAATTCAGAACGTGACAGCAAAAGGCAAGCAGCAAACGATCAAGCATTTCATACCCCATGGCAGTATTACCAGCGCGGTGGTACAGGACGACGTGGTGGCCTGTGTCTTATTGCTGTACAATCCGCTAACAGGCTGTCCTGTTCATGTGCACGCGTACAGGTCAGTTGCAAATTGTATTGTATTATATCGGATTAAAGTTACTTTTTAAAAAAATACGATTTTATACAACACGGGATTGTATAAAGGCAGACAAAAAGGGGAAATTATCGCCTTTTGACATGAGTAGCACCATGTACATAATACATTGTGGTGCTTTTGATGTCCCTTATATATTACCTAAGAACTAAGATGTTATTCCTCTATATACTGTTATTTCTCTGCCATACCGCACTCTTTAAATTGAAACAGAGCTATGCAAGCTCTGCAGCTATTGCACGGCAAATACACATGTGAGACTAAAGTACCTAAGCAGAAGACTTTTGTACATCTCCTGATGACCGACTTGATAGAAGATTCTAAATGTCCTAAATAATACTATCACATTTTTTTATTACTATTTACATTATTGTATCTACTCTGTTGTGTGTGTGTCCTTATCGTTATATAACCATCCTGTATAATATGCAGGTTGTAATGTCTGCTAATATTGTTTATACGAGAAAACTAGTTTCTTTGTAAACACAAGGTCTTCAATTTCACACTAAAGTTGAAGTATTAATTGATTGTGTATCAGTTCTCCCATATTTTCAAGGTTCCACAGAGTGTCACGATTATGCACCTATTTACTAACACACTGGGTCAAGGAGAAGATGTTTCAGATAATATTTTACGACTCAAAATAGTAGGTTCACAATATAAGATCGGTTTCACAGATAACTTTAATGCTAAGTCTATAAATTGTTATTGAATAAATTATAGTAAACTGTAAAATAATAGTAGACTGAGTACGTGCATATGTGCGCTGTGTGTGTGTGTGTGTGTGTGTGTGTGTGTGTGTGTGTGTGTGTGTGCGTGTGTGTGTGTGTGTGTGTGTGTGTGTGTGTGTGTGTGTGTGCGCGTGTGTGTGTGTGTGTGTGTGTGTGTGTGTGTGTGTGTGTGCGCGTGCATGCACGTGTCTTCATTCGAATATTTATATGTTACGTTATGCAAAATTTTATTACAATTTGTTAAACTAAATAAAACTACTTAAATATATATACTAGATACCCAATATAAATACAATTTTATTTAAACTTTTAAGTTTGCATTCATTTAAGTTATCCCATTGTGAGAAAATCATAAAATAACACCTAAAAATTTAGCACGGATATATTTTGTAATCATAGAAGCGTCCATCACATTTGATTAGAGACCAAGTGCTAGAAAAATATTTAAAGAGACATATCTGACATTTTGCTCTTTCGACCTTTGTTCATTGTAAATGTCAAATTAATTGTGGACCTTACTACATAATATTGATCATCACGATCATACTTGAACAATTATAATATTTAAAACTAGATGATACTACCTTGTTTTTAAGAACCTACTTAAAAAAGGAGATTCTAAACCCCTTATTTATAATTACTAAAACCTCCTACAAACCTATTTTAACCATTACACTGTTTTATCAGTTTTATTCAAATTGTGAATTTAGTTCGTATATATATATATATATATATATATATATATATATATATATATATATATATATATATATATATATATATATATATATATATATATATATATATATATATTCTTTATTGCACTTAAACAATATATGCGACGATTAGCTTAACTACTCTTCACCATATTATGATAGGTTTTTTTATATTTAATAGGATTTTTTTTAATGGATGATAATGAAATGGTAACCCTGCTGGCGCTAACGGTATACACTGGCAGGGCACCAGTGAGGGATGTAAATGAGAATGACCTTTTCATGTGTGACCAAATTAATATGGGACTATTCATCTCACATTAATTTTAAGATAGCTGAAACTGTTATTTTTGTTTACAGAACAAAAATTGTTTGTTTTTTATATTATATTTACTTATTCAGGTTTACCAACAATTGTCTCCACTACGTTTTTTACAAAATTAAATGGTAAAAAATTATATCCTTCAAATTTCAAACCACCTTTGTGTCTGTCGATTCTTATTCGAATCAGGTTCAGTTAAATAGATTATCCTATTTCTTGTTATTTAAATAAATGCAAAGGTGAATCCACTTCTGCGTTTATTTAATTAATATGTACATGTTAACATAGATTTTTTAATTGTCTTAGATTACTAGTACTGTATACGAACCTGTTGCATATTATTTACGAAACACATCTATAGTAGGCGACTAACAATTACCTATAATGGATGCGTACGTAATATTTCAAAATTTTATTGATTTTTTCCAATTCTAGGATACGCTCGTAAATTGAAATTAGAATAAGGATTTACGTTTCCACTAGGAATTAAGGAAATTATATTTTTTTTTATATAACATTAGAGATTATTGATGATTGACATATATACTGTAGGTACTATATGATATAATTTATTAAAAAATATAATTATACGAATAAAAAAACACAATATTTCTTGCCAATTTTATCAGAATTAATAATAACGTAAAATATAAAATATGATACTTTGTTAATTGCATTTAAATATTCTAAATTTAATTTAATTTAATTTCCATTATTTATTTTTATTACCACGACGATTTTATAAATGGAATCCTTTGATAAAATATATAAATACAGCACATACTTTAAATATTTACTAGATTTTAGTTATATTTGCAAAACTACAAAACAAAGGGTTTACCATCTTCACCTGACATTTAAAGCATTTGAATACATGTCGCAACTTCTATACAGCTGTAGGCTAAAGCATCTTTACGGCATGTCGCAACTGATATTAGACTTTCCCTATTACAATCGATATCCTCTCATTTATATAAATCGTTAATATAAATAACATCATCTGATTGTTTATGTTTTACGAATTTATACTTTTTTGTCACTTATGAAATGTCTGTGTTGGTAGTATATACTAATTTGTGTAAACAAAAGAAAATACTTAAAATGGCAAAAACTACAAACCTTAGGTACATCTTTATAAAGCCATTTTACTTTGAGTACGTAAGGACTATACTGAACATTATATAGTAGATAATAGCTATAGTAAATTGAAATTCTAAATACTTAGTCAATAAAATTTTCATAAAATTTTGTATTCTCGTATTTATTTATCTGGTGTACAGAAGGATTTCTATTACCTTAATTCCAATTCATCAACGCGGACGTTGTAAATAATGGTACGAATGAAGCCGCGAGTAATAGCTAGTCATTATTAATAGAAGAAAGTTGGCAACCCTACAATGGCATTTCACGTTTATGCACCCAGCATCCGCCGAGGTCACGGTTAGCGACATCTGTGTGCAACTTGTGAGGAATTTGTGACAAGGACTATTATAGAGAAGTACTCGTTTTCAACACCATGCCGATCGGACTGGTATGGGGCTACAGTATGTGTGGATGTACCTAGTACCTACATTTTGCACGGTAAAATAACTTAATCAATCGTGAACATATAACACATATTGATGATCGACGAGATATATTAGATTAAATAATATATAATAATATTTTAATTTAGGTATACAAGATTTACCTTAGCAAAAAATATCATCAACTTCAATCGTCATAAAATTAAAATGAAATTAATATGACAGTAAACCATATCGATTGTAAAAAGAATTTTAAAAATCGATCCAGAATAGATGACATATTATTATAACTTATTCACAAAAAAAAAAAAACAATAGGCAAATTGAGAACTTCGTTCTTTTAGAAGTTGCATAAAAATATGCGTGATATAAAATAAAATATTATTTTCTACATTATAAAATAAAATCATAGGTATCTAATATACTTTATCAATTTAAAAATGTAATGAGACTTATCGCAATAGAAGCAATAACCTGGATTAAAGTTAGATCCGGTAACCATCTACATTAGCAAGTTTATGATAGCACTTACCCGTTATGGAGCCTGGTAGTTTAATGCAGGATTTACTTGAAAGTACATTATTACTGTACATTTGAAATTACTACATACCAATATAATAATAATTACACATAAATATGTTTATATAATTTACAATTACAATTTACCTGCCTAGTGTAGTATTCAAGCATAAAATTATTTGAATTATAACGTAATTGTGTTTAAATTATCCTTAGAATATGCTATTTACCATGAAATAAATTTTGAAGTTTCGGACCTAATGTTATACTTTATTTTATACGGAAATCATGCGTAAATGGAACTTAACGTTTCATTCGTCTTAAATCCTACCTAAAAAGTTTAAAAGACAAATATTTTAATCTTTTTAAACTGCATTTATTACATGATTTTAACATTAAATTCGTGACTCGTTTGGTTTCGAAATTTTGAAAAACTATTCATGGTAGGCTTTCTGGGTTGTTTATATTATACCATCAGAGTACTATTATTGTATCTTTTTATCTTAATTATTAAGATCGATTATAACGATTTAAGATTCAGAACGATAACTTAAACGTTAAATTTGTACTTTTTTAATAATCAATTGAGAACATTGAAAATTCTTCAATTGATTTTGAAAATTGATAGATAATTGCGACGTTACTACACTAAAGTAATGGACGCTCTTAATATATGTATACTATTCATATTTATAAATTATCGACAGTAAAATTATTGACGATATTTTTCTATGACAGTAAGTTAATGAAATTATTTTCTAATTAATATTTGCGACAGAAAAAATAATAATAAATCGCGACTATCTAGAAATCACACAAATTAAGTTCTTTAGTTTCAAGTACTTCGACGACGTTTACTTTCTAAACTTTAATATTATCTTTTCTCAGATTATTAGTTCAAAGGTGATCAATCTATAGATAGATGATAATAGAAACGGGAAAACGCATGTTCTACTTAGTACTTACTCAACTACACTCTAAATTAATCATTCATCGCTTGCCGACAACGTAACAGTGTTTTTACAATCCTTTCACTGCAACGACTCTGACCACGTACGATACGTATTATTTGTTCATTACATGTTAAATGTTTCGTGGTATTTTTGACAGTTATTTAAATATAGCAATGAAATAAACGCATAGACAAAAA